CCTCTCCAAAAAAAAAAAAAAAAGAATTGGGGCAGGGAAGAATCATGGATTCAGAAACAATGGAAGAACAAATCAAAAATAAGTAATAAATTAATGGAGAGTTATAATAGTGTATTTTTAAAATGCATAGTCTCAGGGCCAGCAGGTGATGTAGTGGTTAAGGTACTGGATTCCCACATGGTCAACTGTGTTTTGAGTCCCAGGTCCAGCAGCTTGAAACTCTCGCTGGGTGCATGTGCGTGCATGCCCAAAATCCCAGCAGTAGAATGGAGAAGAATGGATTGTGGTGTGGCCATTCCCCCAGGGGCTGATTTCTCACTTTCCCTCTCACTGTTTCTCTCTGTCTCTGGGTGAACACAAAAACCCTATTGCAAAAACACTAAAACAAACAAACAAAAAACAACCATACATTCAAATGTAATTGTGAAACAGTACTTCATTCAATTTTCATGTCTCATAGTTACAATGAATTACTTATTAACTGAAGTCAAAATTTTGGGGTTACAAAAATGATGGCAAAAATAAGGTATATTTGGGGACCAGCAGCTAGCGTAATGGCTATGTCGCTGGACTCCCATGTAGTCGACCACTGTTTGAGTCTCAGACCCGGTGGCTTAAACTCATGCCGGACGTGTGTGTGTGCATGCCTAAGATCCCTAGAGAAGAATGGAGGAGAAGGGATTGCGGCGTGGTCATCCCTCCTGGGGGGTGATTTTTCGCTTTCTGTCTCTCTGTCTCTCTGTGTCACGCGAGTGCATGTGTCCTATAGCGAGGAAAAAAAAAAAAAAAACTCTTCAAAAAAAAATAATAAAGTATATTCAAAACTAATTTTAGTTAAGCTTTCAATGTTCCCTTCTTTGTCCTTATGAATTAGCCCCCCTCTATCTGTTCTGTAACCCACAATAATACTGCAAACATTCGGTAAGACCACAATTCTAAGAAGCCTGGCATAAAGCCTGCAGTCACAGCAGGTAAGCAAAGAAGAAAAATCAAGAACTCTATAAACAGAACTCATTAAGGATGAGAAAGAATATTTTCCACTCAAGAATTTTAAATTAAAATCTAGAATTTTTTTCTTTTTTTAGTACTATTAAGGCTCATGCCTACCGAACTAGTGTGAAATGTTTTCCCTATGATTACATTCTACTTTTGACTTTAAAGTTGAATAGAAAACTATTTTATAAATATGAAGACTTTTTTAACTTGAGCACAGAACAACATATTACTACAGTTTGTACTTTCCTTCATTAAAGAAAGCAAGCCCTCATCCTGCTAGCATTCTGTCTACTGCCACTAAAGCTCTCTGTGAGCTAAAAAAGAAGAGGTCAGCTGAGCTTTGTAGGATGGAAGTCAAATATGGCTCAAGAAAAAGAAGTGCATTTAGGCTGCAGGCATTGGAGGCACAGTTACTCTGGAGGGTGAGAAAGTAGAAGATAGAAACAGAACAGTTGAAAGTCTGTATAAGAAGTACGTTAACCAGAAATTTCTAACTCATTGCTTCCCTTATCAGAAGATCAGATGATGAGTCCTAACAAAATACAGGAATTAACAGAGAAAAGGATACTAAATCTAGGAAACAGGAAATCCAATACAGCAAAGAAGCAAACAGAATTCCCAGATATTCCAGGATAACAGCTGTGTCTAGGGAGGACCTTGTCTAGACTAGAACAAATGATTAGGGACTCTAGGAAACACATCTCCAGAGAGAGGAAAATAGACCTATCAATACTCTGATATACCTGAGTCTATCAACATGAATTTCCAATCCTGCAAGAAAGGTTCAGAATTTATTAGTGGTTAAGTGTTTTTAAAAAGAAAAAGAAAATTGAAAGCTAGTTATGAACTCCTGGGGAAACAAAGTTATACAGATAATATAATCATAATAAACTAAATAGCTAAGCAAATAATAGGTACAAAGTCACTATAATAGGAACATTATAAAGTGATTTTACTGAAATTAAGTTTTAATTCTACTGAAAATCAGAAAAGGAGCAGATAAATACGATAAAGTTGGTTAGCAGATACGAGATCACGGTTATTACCAGGTAAGAGAAGGAAGTTCTAGTGTTCTATAGTACTATAAGGTAACAGGAGTTCAACCTAAAGAGGATTTTGAAGGTTCCCAACACACAGTAATGATAAATGTGTGAGATGATGAATATGCTAATTACATTGACTTGATCTTTACACATGATATTTATAAACCTACTGGAAAAGAACACTGTGCTCTATAAATAGGTACAATTATTAAGCACTGAAGATACATTTTTAAAAAACATAATTATATGTCATACAGCAATGTTTTTTTAATTGTTTTTATTCTTTTTTTCTTTTTTCGGAGAGTTTTTTTTTTTTTTTTTTTTTTTTTTTTTCTATAGGCTGCATGTTTCTCCCCAAAAAAAAACCAGAAAGACAGAGAGAGACAGAATGTGAGATATCACTCCCCAGGGGGGATGGCCACGCCACAATCCCTTCTCCTCCATTCTCCTCTCGGAATCTTGGGCACATATGCACACGCACCCAGCGTGAGCTTAAGCCACGGGGTCCGGGACTCGAACCGCTGTCGACTACGTGGGAGTCCAGCGACATAGCCATTACGATAACTGCTGGTCCCCAGTTATAACAATGTTTAGGTCAGTAAAGAGGACATAAAAAATGGTGGTCCCATAAGGTTGTACCTAAGTGTGTAGGCGCCTGTACCTTTTAAGTTTGTCTGCTCTGTTATCAATCTGGATGTGTGATACCTCAGGTCTCTGCGAAACCCCCCCCAGGATGTGGCTCATGGACCTTGGACCTCCAGATCATGAGCTGAATAAACCTTTATTCTCTTAAATTATCCAGACATAGGTATTTTCTGTTATTAGCAACTGAATAGATTACAATACCTAAAAAATGGGAGGGGGGGTGAAAAAATAATAGCAAAATAAGCAAGATCGTAATAACGAATAAAAAAAAAAAAGCTCTAAGTGGTCTGGGGGCAGCCAGTGGCATAGTGGTTGAGGTACCTGTGTCCCAATGGCCAATTGCATGGTTCAAGTCCCCAATGTGGCAGCTTAAAAAATACACTGGGCATGTGTACATGTATGCCCAAAATCCTGAGAGGAGAATAGAGAATAGATTGTAGTGTGGCCTTCCCTCCAGGGGATGCTTTCACTCCTCTCCTTTTCTTCTTTCCTTCCTCTTTCTCTCTCTCCCCCTTCTCTCTGTCCTTCCTTCCAGCAAGTGCATTTGCCCTATGGCAAACTAAAACATAAAATAAAAATAAGCAATAGTAATAAAAAGTTCTAAATGGTCTTTATAGAGAATTAAAATTAGTGGAGATTAGCAGGATAAAAACTTGCTAGTTGGGGTTAAGCCTAAAGTAATCTATAACTATTTGAACAAATCATAAAAAATAAAACATGAGGCAAATGCTTTATTTTCCTACTAGCCAAAACACTGGTAGGACATGGATGTCATATTATCAAACTTCCCAAATGGTTAAATAAATAGCTAGCACATAAAGGCCTATCAACAGCTATTTTGGAATAAATGAAAATAAGCTCAGTTTTAGATCATCAGGAGCACACTAGAACCTCCCAGAAAAATCACTGGCCCATGTAGGCCCAAGCAGGAAGTCACTGGCTCCTGAGGTCATACCAGCGGTGAGTAATGAAGTCCACAGGCTTCCCCATGGTACTTATGACACCAAGAATTAGTTGCAGAGTTGCCTTCCATCAGATTTTGACTGCAAGAAAATGCAAATTCTCATTGTACTGTTTTACCTTTTTGTCTAAAAAGTTAATGATGCTGTTGCCTATTTTACTTGAAT